TTTCTTTCTTTCTTTCTTTCTTTCTTTCTTTCTTTCTTTCTTTCTTTCTTCTGTAAAGCAACTCTGGGTGACTTACAGATTGTAGAATCATAAAAAAAGCCCCAAGGAACTAAAAAAATAAAGCACAATAAACATCTGAAACAGAAAAAGAAACAAACAAAACCCCCAGTATAACTGGGGCCTTTCATTATGGATAGGCTTGTCTCATGTTCTGGCCCAATGCTTGGGGAAGAACTAGACTTTCAGGGCCTGAATAGGGTTAGGGTTATCTGAACCTTAGGATGAATGCTGTTCCACAGGGCAATCACTGCACAGAGAAGGGACACCTCCTGAGTCCTGCCAGATGACATTGTTTTGTGGAAGGGACTCAATCCATGTCTATGTGGCCAGGTCTCAAAAAACAAACAGAAATAATTGGAGACAGGTAGTCTCATAAATAACCCATCCCTGTGCTATGAAAGGGTTTAAAGGTGATAAGTAGGACCTTAAATTGCACTCAGAAGTTTATGGGGACCCAATCAACTCAAGAAGTAGTGGTGTTACATGGACAAATTAGGGTGTCTACTTATACCATCTGAACCAATTGCACTTCCAGTTGGCTTTCAAGGGCAGCCCATGATAAAGTGCATTGCAATATTCCAAGCAGGAAGTGAATAAGGCATGAATAACTCTGAACAGGGCTTCTCAATCCATGATTGGGTACAACTGGTATACAAGGTAGATTTTTGCCAAGGGACTCCTGCCATGACTACCACCTGCTCTTCCAACAGCAGCTAAGAGTTCAGGTGTCTAAGAGGAGCCCCACACTGCACAGCAGTTCTGTCTGGGGGACTATAATCCCATATAACACAAAAGATAGAGAGTTCCCAGAATCAGGGGATTAAAAAAAAAAAAAGATAACAAAACCATACTGTGGTCTTCACTGGGTTGGGCTGAAGCCTATTCTTTCTCCTACAGACCTCCACAGCCTCCAGACAGTGGGAAGGAACCTTGAAAGCATCACTTGGCCAGCCTAGGGTGGAGATGTATAACTGGGGGTCCTCAGCATATCTATGGTCTCTGATAGCCTACTAATGAATGACTTAACCCAGAGGTTTCATTTAGATGTTAAACAGGATTAGTGAAAGTGAGTAAAACCCTGAGGGATACTCACCAACACCAACTGAACTTGGCCCTGGAGAATACATTGGAACACTACATCTCCCACTCCTAAACCTCAGAGCCGTTCCAGAAGTATATCATGACTGAAGGTATTGAAAGCCACCTAGAGATTAAGGAAGGCTACTGCCATCTTGGTTCCATAAAAGATCATCTATATGTATGACCAATGCCATCTCAGTACTATATCTTGGCCTGAAACCCAACTGAAAGACATTCAAATAATCTGTTTCCTCCTGGAAAGTTGGAGACTGGACAAAAATTGTCTACTGTCATTGGATCTATGGAAGGCTTCCTGAAGCGGGGATGAACTACCACCTCTTTAAGAGGAGAGGTACAATCCCTCCCACTAGGAAGCATTTACTAAGCCTTGGATCCAACCACATTTTGTTCCAGGGCCTTGACCAACCAGGAAGGACATGGATCTAATATATAGATGGCTGCAGTCAGAGAATTGAAGATTAATTCTTCAGGAACAACAGTTTCAAATTCTTCCCAGATAATTGAGCTAGACCACGACCTAGTCATCTCCAAGGGACTGTACTCTCACCAATAGAGTGTCACGAGGTTATCTGTCAAGGTTATCTGCAGAGTAGTGCCTCTGAAGGCCATCAGAGTTTCTCAAATAACTACAGCTACTCCATCACCTTTGCTCTGGGGTCATATCTGGTGCCACACTTGAAATTCAGGTGGGCACATTTCCAAGAGGGAAGTCTGCAACCACCACCACCACCACACTAGTGTCCAGTCAGGTCTCATAATACATGCCAGGTTGGCTCTCTCATCCACTGTTAGATCATAGATTTTATATTGGATCTATACTGGGCCTACATTGCTTTACTGCGATCCAGCAGAGATAGGTTAATATTACCTATCTCATCCAACCAGATTTTGGCTATACAAAACAGGCAGGATTGTTTCTGATACTGAAATGTAATCATGTACAGATAAGGGGAAGAGTGATATGCCACACTTTTCCCGCCAGATACACAAATTGATTCTCAAACATATGAAATGCAGTTCTATCTCTCTCTCTCTCTCTCTTGATGATTCACAGGTATAATATATGCAGCTTCCTGAATTAAGGAGCCAGCTGCTGGAAATTCACAACAAACAGGTTGCCAAATTCAGCTAGAGAAAAACCCTGCAGGGCATTTCCTTGGCTATAAATCACATGCTCCAGGCATAATGTCCTATTGGGTTATGGGGCTGCTAGTAAAAATCCCATTAACCATGGCAGAAAATATAGACTTTGGCCAATATTTTGCTGCCTATTACTCTCTACCCTTTCCCCAAGGTGAGAGGGATTTTTTCTTTGTGAAAAGGGAGAGGGGAATGGCTTGCACAACAGGAAGTGACATGCCACAAATGGAGGATTCTGTGTTGGAAAAAAGGGAGGAAGTGGAGGATTCCAGTTTCCAAACAGCAAGGAAACCAGGCCACATTATGTTACAGAAAATGCAATCAAAGAGTCAGAAGAACTGATTGAGCTTCCCCGGGTCTTATGGAAAGATAGCACTTGACTAGGCAGGCTGTAAGAGGAAGTGCCCTTTGGAGGCAGGCTTGGCAGGATTAAAGATTCTGCACCAATAAGAGAGCCACCTGAATCTTAGCATTTAAGCATTCAGTCTGTATATCTCAAGTGCTGGAAACGACAGGTCCTTTTACTCACCTTCTCTCTCATATCTCAGTTCTTTAGAATTTCCTAACTGGACTGGTTTGTTCAATTCTGCATGTAGCTCATGTAACCCGTTGGCCTGAAGACTGAATCTAACTACTTTCTTGGCCTCCAATCCCTCACTTTGGACTCAGCTTCTTGACTTCTTGCCAAAAAGACTCTGGACTCATTGAATGAATATGAAATTATTGTGGGAGTTTCACTGCTAGGTAAGGGTCATATGCAGGACAGACAGTGGAATGGTGGAGAGGAGAGGAGAATCTTATTTCAGATCAGGCCCAACTAAAGGAAATGCATTTGTTTATGGGGAAAATGTGCATTTTGAGCTCCTCTATGAGAAAACTCAGGAGAGCCCATAGTAGATTTTCTGCATGATGTGTAGTTTCTTCTTTACTTTGGCTGTCTTGGAGCTCAATTTGTTGTATGTTGAAAGACCAACTACTTCTAATATATGACATCCTTATATGTTTCAAGTCTTTAATTTACTCAGAAGTAAATACGGGGCTTTCCAATCCAGTTCTAGATGGCTATGAATGGGGAAGGGAGTTTTAAACTAGTCTTTCCCAGCTGCTTACTTCCTGGAAGATAGTGATTGCAGACGAAAGGATAAAAGTCCTATTGCCATCTTACGTTCTGCTTTTGACTGGGTGTACCATCCTTACTTTTGCCCAAAGAAAAACTCCACATAGAGCTACACATCATAGATTAAATGTAAAACGCGGGCTAACTCTCAGACACGTTTCCTAGTTCATGCTAAATGCCTGGCTGAGAACCTTTCTAAATGTTTTCCACCGAGACAACAGTAACTTTTTCTACAATGTACAAGCCAGCAAGCCAGCAACAGATGGGTTTTTAAAGGCATAATTTAATATGTGCTTAGATTGATAGTGCTATGACATCGTTTAGAGTGCAGTCACAAATTGTAAAATTGTTTCTTTACTTCCATGATGTCATTGATGAAACTGATTGCTCTCCATAGTCACCAAAGGGATAGAAGTATTATTATTTTGTATAATTGGTATTTGATGTCTGCATATGTAGCATTTCCCGTCCAAGCTAAAATGCTCAGCATCTCACATACCTCCAGTTCCAAGTCAGCAAGGTTGGGAGTAATTCATCTGAAACAGACTTGCAACTTACAATCACTAAAAATGTTCAGGAGAAAAATATGCAGTTGTGTCAGAGTATGGAGCTAGATTTAATGCATGATTATTTTTGAGAGAATGTGATAGAAGTACTTTTATTTATTCATTCATTTGTTTCATTCAATATATTTTAGCTGCCCATTCCAACAGACTCTGGGTGAGTTACGGAAAGGTTACAGAATATACTTCTTCAATGCTTGAAACAAGCATTTGGGGATGACTGAAAGATCATGTCTTAGAAGAGAACTTGGACTTGATCACTAATTTTCTTATACTAAAGAAACAAGATACAGTATGACACTGAAAATCTCAATTGTTTTTATATTAAATTGAAAATGACTTGATGTGGAAACCTAGGGGAGGAGGTTCTGACTAAGCTTATTTTTTATTTTAAAAAAGTACATGAAACTAAATTGTTGAAATGTGGAGTTTGTACATACATAATTGTACTGTGTGTTTTCCATACTGTCACACTGTCCAATAACCTGTCATATTGATTGATTGATTATGAGCCATCAAGTCATTTTCAACTTCTAGCAACCACGTAGATAGATTTTCTCCATGACAAAACCTGTCATATTATGTACATATAAAAAGCGAAACAGCATAAAACTAATATGACAATTTAATAAATATAAAAACCAACATAAGGAACACTCATCAAGGAAAGATTTGCTTTTTTATTATAAATATATTTATATACAGTACATTTAAGATATCCATAGTCTTAATTGAATTCCTTATATTGTCCAGAAAATTTGCCATTTATTGTAGATAAATTTGGGATCCATTTTTCCTCTTGAATTTCTTTCATCATTTTGGTAAAGTACAGACTGTTCTTTGCCCTTGATATGCTCAAAGGGAAATGTTTGCTATGTTCCACAGACATTTGTTTTGCTTTATAGCCAGGAATTGCTCTGACTATTGGTTTTCATCTGCTTTTCTATTGCTTGTAATCATCTTTCAAGTAATTTATGTTATGTTTTTCTTGTTTTGACTCTTGTAAATATATCTATAGTCAAGCATTCTAATCAGCAATGTATAAGAAGCTCCTCGGTACCAGATGTAACTTAATAACTTGAGAAACCAACCACAGAGAACCTCACAGCCTACTATTGGCCATGTTGAATGTCTTTATGGAGTATGAAGCAAGAAATCCCCAAGAGGTGAGCTGAACTTAAAGAAGCAGTCCATCACACAACAAATCTATTGGGAAACTCCTTTGGAGAAAACAAGAGTAGGACTGGATTTCTAGTGGTCATCTGAAGAGTTACATTCAGTTTGCAAAAGATTATTCTTTGGCCTATGCATTAGGATTCCGATTTAAGGAAGGAAAAATGAGAGGAAAATGATGGGGGGAGAGCAGAATAGCGTAATGCAAAATGACATAAAAACAAGAACACAACTTTGTAAAGGAGGATGTTCAGCTCTTCAAAAGGAATGAAGCAGTCAGCATTTCCAGAGCTTACAAAATAAATTCCTAGCGCTATGCCCAGTAGCACTGTTATAATTAGGGGCTTATTCCTAATAAACCACACATTCCAACAGCACTTAAATAGCATACTGTAACCTATTGCATACATGAAATTACTATAGGCAACAACAAGAGAAATGTAAAGTATGTTTCCATCTTCTTAATGTGGGTTGGCCCTTCTTTCTTTTAAATGAAAAACATAATGTTTGTACCATCACTGTAGGGTAATTCTGGTGACATGTTGAAATGCACTTTAAGATTGAAAAATAATATTGGTGAAATGTTACAGAGAGTATCATATTCACTAATGCATGATTGAAGGATTCTGAATGTCAGAGGGAAGTTTTTGGGAGTATGTTAGAATGGGATGCTATATTAGCCTGTCAGATCTGGCACTCCTGACAACAAGCAACCTCTAAAACAGGATTGCATTTTCAAAGGGCCTACCTCATCCACTTGATTTTGGAAGTGGAACAAAGTCAATAACACTGGTTTTGTGCTCTGTAAGGAAGGAGAAACACATTAAAATAATGTTGAGGGTCTGGATGAAATTAGAAACAAATTTCAGTTGTATTTCACTCTGTTGTGCCTATAATTCAACACAACTTACTTTGTCAGAATAGCCAGGGGCATCCAAACATTTGGTACAGATTGATGCCAAATTATTCCTTATTTGAAGGATATTTTCCAACTATTCCTCAGGATGTTTTCCTTCCTGTCTTTTTTGGTAGGTTAGGAAAGAGGAGTGACATTCATTCTGCTTGCATTCTGTTTTTACAAATTCTATTCTCCATCTTTCAAGATGTTGTATTCTGTTTACTTTGCTATTCATTGTGCGTACATGTGTTCAATAAAATAATAATTTTATAGTAAAGTTGTATATATTTCTAGTCAGAAGTAAGACTCATTAATTTTAGTGGGACTTTATTCCCTATCGATTTTCAGGCCTAATGCATTTTTGCATTCATTGGTTCAACCTATTGATTGATAATCATTATATTTATATGGTCTACATACTAAAGTTATTCTCACTTATTAAATAACTAGATTTTATATCCTGATGTTTCTCCAAGAATTCAAGGCAATGTACACAGCGCTCTCTGTGCCAAGGTTTTTCTCCAATGACTGGCCAAAAGTCATACAGTGAGCTTCCAAGGCTCACAATGGATTTGAGCCTGGCCCTTCCCAGTCCTCCTAATCCATCATTTCAACCATAAGAGTGACTGTTCTATGATGATAATAGCATCCTATTATGTGGTAGAAAACCATAATCACAATTTAATAGTCTTAGAATGGCCTAATTTTCTTTTTTGCAGTTTTGTTTGCTAAAACATTTATTGCATTTTCAGAAATAAAGAAGAACAAAACATAGTAACACAAGAAATGGGTATGATTGATTTTTATTTTATTTTTATGAGATTTATTCCTGCCTCAACTTTCATAGACTCAAGGCAGTTACAGATAATAGCACAAATAAAACAAGGATAATAAATACTATACATTTACACTAATCATTAAAGCTAAATTTAGCACTGATGACTTAGGTCAATCCTCACAGGCCCTTACAGAATGGCCAGGTTTTTTGTTTAGTTTCCAGAAGTTCTTCAGCATAGGGACTATTCTTACTTGGGATGGGGGGACAAGCTGTTCCAGAGGAGAGAGTATCCACAGAGAACGCATATTATTGAGCATCCTTACGCCATACCTCCAGGTAGATGGGGATCCTTAGCAGGCATTCCTGCCTATCCAGATCAGGAAGGCAGAATTTATTTGGAAAAAGCAGTCTGATGCTATTCCTTCACTCAGTTCAGTCTGCTTCTACCTTAGTGGATAGTAAAATATGAAAAATCTTCTCTGCACTTTTGTGCTATGAAAAACAAGTTTTTAGCTTCTTTTATTCTAATCTCCTGTTTACCTTTTTCAAAAGTTTGTATTTCCACTTTTTACTCCCCCACCAGCTCACTTTTCCTGCTACCATTCCATTCATCCCTTAGCCTGATTTCCACAATTTCTGTTCAGTCATCAGCAAGTTCTCAAATAAGGGGCTTGACCGCTCCAGTTGACAGGAAAATACATATAGTATACGAATGCTTATTGCGATTATACATTCGATTGGTAACACATTCTCCATAGAACCAAATGTACTTGCTCAGACTAATTGATAAATTGATGGGCACATCTGCACTTACAGTTTTGTTGCCTCTGTCCTGTTCTTATGCTGGCTTGACTCTAAACCAGCTTAAGAAAATTCTGTCTGGACTGAGACATTTTGGCAACAACTTACAAGGTATTTAGTTGAGACAGAAAGCTACTACGTCCTCTTATTGGGCAATTCCCCTGCAATTGTGCCCTCACATCTTTTGGTGGGTGAGTCTTCCTGGACACATATACTTTTGTGTGTGTGTTTGTGTGAGAGAGAGGAGAGAGAGAAAGAGAGAGTACACACACACAAAGTTAAATTTGTTATATACACACAAAGTTAAAACATGAAAAT